CCCCAAAACCCCAAAACCCCAAAACCCCAAAACCCCGAGACGAGGTATGATGGTTGAACGTATTAAAGTGAGGTCTGAAATATTCAATTAAGCTTCTTAAAATATAAAATGAAAAATAAACCCCAGTGTTGCGCTAAAGATTGCTCCCATCCAGCGACTATGTATGTCAAAAGTGTGGAAGAGTACTACTGCTTCGAGCATTTCGACGAAGAATATAACCCAGATGAAGGAGAGAGGCTGATCTCTTCAAATCTTGTTACTAAGTCGATTGGAATCGTTGAAGATATGGTCAACATGCTCATAGACTTCACAAAAAATGAAGGAAATGAACAGCCTGATGAAGCCTTAGTGAAGTTTGGTGAAGAATTCAAGCTCAAAGTCAAAGGACTTCAGGATTCTTTAGCTAGAGCAGAGGAACTTAGGGAGTTCTATAAGTTCTTAAGTCTAAACACGAAAGCCAAGGATATCCAAATTTTGATGGAGAATGAAGACACTTTCTCAATTTTTGCTAGAAAGTGGCTTTGGAAATTTGTGAAAGAGTAAATTTAACATTGTATTTTGATTCAGGTCTTTTGGAATCCTTTCTAGAACATACGGGATGGCAACTTTAGCACATTCTTCGTGTTCATCCTCCTTTTAAATGTCACCTCTTCTAGGAGTTGTTGACAAATTATTCCTCCAGGAAATTCTGCACACAGTGATAATTTAAGAATAAGTTGCTTCAAACTGCGAGCCTTGAGCCTTCTTTCTCAGCTCATTTTGCTCTTCTGATATATTTGTGATTTGTTAGGATAAATTGCCTTACAGGCTCGTTTAAGTTTTAGATATTTTAAGCCCACAATTTTTCGAGCCCAATTGAAGATTTTCCTTAACATTGAGACTTAGGATACAACTTTATGTACTCTCATTAGCTATGGTTGTGAACTTGTTGGAAGCTTGTCTTGCCAAGATCTTCTCGAGCATGCTTACACTTTAATAAGAATTCGATGCAAATTAGAATCTGGCTTTATGTCCTAATACTATTAACTATAGGAAATAAAATGGAAAGGACAAAAGAATCAGGAACAGATATGAAGCAACTACAAGAAGAGATACATAAGCTTCAGGAAGAGCTGAAGCAGAAGAGCACACAATTGAGGCCTTTGAGGAAGAGAGCAAAAGGATGCATCATGAGATAGATAATCTCAAGAGAAAATTTAATTTACTAAGCCAAGGTATAGGTCAGCATTTGAATATTTTCCAATGGTCTGAAAGCCTACATTTAACATAAACTATCTAGTCGGGATTTTCTGCCTATTTTGATTAAGGACAGCTCCGTCCTCATTTATAACTTCATTTTGGTCACATTGTTTAAGATTTCTTCCTCTATGAATCCTTTTCATTATCATCTGAAATTTAATGAAGTTGTAACATAACTCCCTTTGCTCACTTCTCTAGGGCCCTACGCTTACCCATCCATCACCACTCACCACACAAATATCACAGGCAGGGACATCCAGTTCGACCCCGAAACAATCCTAGAACTCGACCTTTCCGACCCCAAACACCTAAAATTCCTCTCCTCTCTCGACCACAAAATGCCTGACCTAGGCGGGCTCACTCTCAGTAAAATCCCTGAAGGCAATGAAGATGTGAAAACCTTCCTGCAGACAGGGTTCCCTTCCGAATTAAGGGAGTTCACATACAACTACTCTTCCAGCCAAATCTCCTGCTTGGACTTGTATGTGGAGGAGTTGGCAGCAGTGAGCCAGAGAGTGAAGGAAGTGCTGTACGTCTACGGATTTGAAGTGTCTGAGTCCAATCTCGTTACTCTTCTTGCTGCCAATAAGCACAAAGCTTGGTTTGGGTTCCCAGACTGCAAGCTATCCCTGTCCTCTGTTCCTGACTTCGGAGGGAAGCTGGAGGGCAGCACGCTCAAAGGCTTTGGCTTGTCAGGCTGAGGAAGTAGTACATATAGCGACTGGGCCACCAATGAGTCCCATTTCGAAAACCTGGTCGAAGGGCTTTCAAAGGAAGAGGACTTTAAGACCAATCTGGAGCAGATATGGATGTACAAATGCGGAATGGAATTTGAGACAGTCAAGGACATCTTGGCCAAGCATGGATTCACCCATGTACAAATTGTGTACCACTCGAAGTAGGCTAGAGATGAAGATATTTGAGATGAGAATTTTGCTCAGATATTATTGGAGTAATGTAATTGAGTAATAATTCTTAATCGAAAAGTCGTGTTTCAATGGGTTTTAACACCCAGGGGTTTTGGGGTTTTGGGGTTTTGGGG